GGACGACACTACGAAGCATGGAGCCAACACCTCGAACGGTCGAGTCACGCCTGCATAGATACCAGTTGAGGATACACAAATTCGTTAGCGGTTTATGTTCTACCGCTGGCACAGCACTATCGACTTGGCGTCGCGAGTGGCGTCGGGAGGATCGTGAGGCCGTTCATGGATCCATTGTTAAGGTACATGCGATCGATCAAGATGGTCATGTTGGCTTCAAATGCAATGCCCGCCCCGGCCGTGGCCGTAATGTTGCATTTCGTCCAAGTACTTGGCGCAAGGACGTCACGAACCTTGGCGCTATCGAGGTGGAAGGCGCGCGTCGGGCCAAACACTTTGGAGAGAAGCGTGAGCGAGCCAAAGCACACATTGGAGGGAAGGTCGAGGCGCAGCCAGAGAAGGTTGGCTTTCTTCTTGGCGAGCAGCGTGAACGGGTGCTGAACATACGACGACGACGGGGCGCAGAAACGAACTTGCTGCAGGTCGCTGGACGATGCAATCACCAGCGCAAAGCAGGACGCGGTACTTGCTGTCGTTTGCAAAAGGATTTGGTCGGGCTCGGTCATGGCGTCCGCCACAAGGACGCTCAGCACGATCACAAGCACCATGGCGAGGAAGCAGCCGCCCTCGCGTTCGTCATGACGCATATTGCACGATAAACGTAGCGACGGGTGAAGAGCACGGCGCGAGGTAGTATCCCACACCCCAAGGATGTGCCAAGCACGAGTCGATCCCACGGACCACGCTAGCGCATCCTGAAGCCGCGACCACATCCTTTGGCACCGCTTGATGTGGCATCGTGTGTCCTACGCTGCTCTCGCGGACGTCAGGTGATAAGGAGGGCAACAAGCCTGATAAGAGTCTCGTCGGCCATGTCCCATAGTACAATTTTATACCTGGCGGTACCAGTGCCTGAACCGCTAGACGGAAGTAAGTCGACAAGAACCACACCTTCTTGACTGCATGTAGACACAACGACGACCAGTCTGCATGCGGTCACGGCCCCCTTGGGTGAAGTCTTGCCAACAACACTCTCGGGCTACCTCTACTCCAAAGCCGGCCTCCAACATGCACCGAGCTACCTCTGGCCCGTGCTCCGCGCCTGCGTCTGGTTCAACGTCCGCAACGATCTCGCGCCGACCTGCCAAGTCCATGGACAATTGCCATCAAGGCCGCGCGTGTCGCTCAAATGCACTTGCACCACAGCTTCGTTCAAAATCCCGGGCAGATGGCTCTACGTCGCCTTCTCCGGCTCCTCGCTCAACACGAGTGGCCGCGCCAGCACCTTGTCCCGCGGATCGCGCTCCTGCCTCCGCCGGCCTAGATCAAGATCAACACCAGCGCCTACACAACGAAGAAAGTCCGACAATTTTATTTAGCGCAGATTTACGTATCTATTTTAATAGACGACCCACTGCAACAACTTGAAAGACGCGACGACCAGTTTGACTCTGACTGACGTTCTTGGCTGCGCCGCCGCTCCCCGAGTGTTTGACCCGTCCGAGCAGCTCCGCCTGTGTAAGCCGAGCTCTCGCTATGGATGATCGAGCGCTGACCTCCGTCGTTGACGCCGCAGGAAGGACGAGCATGTGTTGCACACTCGCACCGTGTGCCACGTCATGCACCCTCTTTTGCGACGGGTGACAATCTTATACCCCTTTTTGACACGGTCCTACGTGTTTTGACACCATTTCCATCGGCAGAAAGATACCGCGGGATGAAGGCAGAGGTCCGACCGAGCCTCGGGCCGGCGCCGAGCTCCGACGCGCCCAAGACAACCGCGTTTCAAGTCGGTAAGGTCGCCACGGACCCATGGAAGGCTTCGTTCCAGGTAGAAGGCCGGCTATCGATCGATGCGAGCGGCCACGTAGGACGCCAGCATCAGTGTCGGCGCCGGCGAGAAGGAAGAGTCCTACATCCCTGTCCAGCTCGCACGGTGCGACCGATTCGACGGCGGTGAATGCACACGTGCTAGGGTAGGCAGTCGCTGCAGCGCGTGGTCGATGACATGCACGAGATGAAGGCGCGGCAGCAGGAGAAGGTCCAAGCCATCATGGATCGCTACGCGTAAGCTACGCGCTGCCATGACGCTTGAGCGAACGACGCATGCGTAGGGCCATTGAAGCGTCGACCAAGCAGCATTACGAGGCCTTCGTCCTCGACATCAAGCGGTACCGACGCCATATGCTGCGTCGTCGTCATGGCTTCTAGGCGCGCGCTGGAGCGCGTTCAGACCCAGAAGCAGCAGTACGCGCAGCTGCGGCTCGAGACTGGTACTCTCCATCCAAACAGAATCATCTCTATCCACTGTATGTAGACGCCGAACGCAAAGTGGCGACCGCCCACATTGAGAGTCTCGAAGCCAGTGCACGTGACATGGTAGGCTTCCATTCTGAACCACGCATACCAGAGTTTGCCATCTAGCACGACCGGCAAGTCCAGATGCTCGCCATGTACCAGTCGGAGCGCGAGACACTGCTCGTCGACCAAGCACTCGAGCTCGGGTCGCTTAAAAGAGGTACCGTTTGGGGGCCTTTGGACCTTGCCGTTGGCCCGGTTTTGTAGCCTACGAGGTGGAGCAGACTCGACTACGCGAGCTATGGCTGGCCAAAACGGCGACGTTGGAGCAGGCCTACCGCTGGCTGCACATGCGGTTCGTCCGGAAGCATGACTTTTCTTCATCCAACGTCCTTGTCCGTAGCTCGGAAGACGATGCGGCGCGCTGTGTGGAGCTCGAAGCGACGCTGATGGCGGTCACGGCGACCGCCAAGCATCAGCAGATGGACCAAGTGGCGAGTGCTCACATCGTACAAAGCGTCCCGCCTCCTGCTCTTCACAACCCCGTCTCGTAGGACAAGGCCATTGCACTGCACGTGGCGCAGGTCGTCTCCGACTTGTGTTGGCAGGTCGCGCTGCTCGATCGCCCTCTCGGCGTGCATCAAATGACGGCGACCGAGACGCCGCGAAGCGCGATCGTCTCGCCCACGCCGCGCCGGCCGTCCGAGCCCAAAGATGTCATTTGCCAAGAGACACAAACGATCCTCGACCTTGTCCAGAACGAAGCCTCTGAGGCGCAGACGGCTCTCGTGGCGGCCAAGGTACACGCACCTAGGCAGGCGTATCGTCCATCGTTTGCTGCATCGAGTAGCGCTGCGAGGAAGCGTTGCGGCACCAGCTTCGCGCCGCCGAGCACACGCGCGACGTGTGTGAAGCGCAGATCGTCCGTGACGTGCTCGACCAGCTCGTGCTGGAAACGGCCTGTGCACACGCAGGTAGCGTCCGACTCGCGCTGTCGTCGCGCTCAAGTGGTTGCATAGCCCACAACACGCCGGTCGTCACACGTATCGAACCCACACGCGTGTCGCCCTCGCCGTCGCTACCTCTCTTGCGCCCGCCCGCGTCGATCCACGTAGCACAACGTCCGGTTCGTATCAAGGTATCAATCTTGGGTGTCAACTAGATCCCGCCCGAGTACGACCATTTGATTGCGTGCGAGTTGGACATGGAGGCCCTTCGCGACACGGCCGAGGCGCTCAAGAGTATATTAGGTTATGTACAATATTGTCTGTAGATATACCACGTATATAGCGACCACATCGGACCTGCACCACAAGAAGACAGCGGCCAAGCAAGCCATCAAAGGTCCACCACCGTTTTTAACAAAACTAGGAATAGCGCCAACCATGTAGATTGGCTCGCCGACTTTGAAGCGACCAACCACCGGGAGCCGTCGATTCAAGACAAGGCGCAGGTCAAAGACATGTACATCGCCTTCAAGCAAGCCGAAGAGCAGTACAACCGGTCGCGCGAGGTTCGACTATCGTACTAGAGATTGTGTACAACTTAGTCGAGTAGCAACTCAATGCGCAAAAGCAGCTCTACACGGCAAAGTTGGCCGAAGTCGAGACGCTGCAGTCGAGCCAGACGATGCAGACGTTTCCTCACCACACACTGGTAGCGTCATGGGTTCGAAGTATGACAACCGACATTGGTCGTAGGTGGCCCACCTGCGCGCGGCGCTCGATGACACCCAGCGGCGGCTCGACGTTGCGTTGCACAAGCCTGTCACGCCGGCGCTCGTCGACCGCAGCGGCCGCGCGTCGACGCCGCACGTTCCGCCGCGCACCAACGTAGCCCTGCATGCCTTGTATCGCAGGGTGCTCCACGATGAGATGGATAGGAGGCCATGACAGCGCTGCAAAAGCGCGTCGAGGAGCTCTCAGCGCAGCTCCAAGTCGCTCAAGCCAATGCGCAGCTCCACGCGTCGGCGTCCGAGCCCAACAGCCTTGGCACGGCGGACGTGATGCCAGCAACATCGACAACGACAGCGACTGACCGTCTAGTGGCAAACTCGTCGAGCTCGGAAGCGGTAGCCGTGCGTAGTACGACTGTGTTGCACGACAGAAGATGTAGGTGCAGCCCACTTCTGTGCAAGCACCGACGGGTCTCGAGCAAGCAACAAAGGTGGACCCTTTGCTGGGTGTCGACAGGCCTTATCTATAGTAATGTTGATAGGAGGTGGTGCACGACGTAGCCAAGGCAGCCAAGCTGGAGTCTGAATAATGCGGTCAGAGTTGCGTGTAGGAAGCGGCGTTGCAAGCCGCTTTGGACGACGCGCAGCACGCCCAAGCGGATCTCCAGCGTACATGCAGCGTCTATCCATGACAATAATGCCCATCCTTGCATAGACAATGTTGATACGCTCTACGACCGTATTCGCGTGCTCGAAGCCGACGCCGCGACGCGCGCGACCGAGCTCGCTGCAGGCACGTGGGTTGCTTATGGGCTGTATGAAATTATGGGTCTGTAGCCAAGGAAGAGAGCGCCCACCATGCGTCACGCAGTGCTGAATACGACGGTAGATGGATACAACTGGCGAGGGTTGTATAATTGGGTCACCATGCCGTAGATGACTCGACGCCAGATGACACGACTCCAGACGATACCAGTGCGCTCGTTGGGATAGCCACCAGTTGTTGAGCTTCTAGCGTTGTCTGTAGCTGCGATGGGCGACGCCGAGGCGTCACTGCCAGGTATGCATGGCATCCCGCCTGGTTCTGTCGTCAACATGGCGTAGAACCTCTTCTCGACGAGCCCAAAGAGGTCTATTCGTTCAAAACGACGTGGGCCAACCCTAGTCCTAGTCGCCGCTCCCAGCCTGCCTCGCCAGTGTCAAGGCTGCGATCGAGAGCGGCAAGGCTGCATGGAACAAGGGTGACAAAGGTAGCAGGAATGGTATAGACAGTATGGTGTATGTGGCTGGGTGTGGCTAGTGCTCTGCCACGACGTGCTGCTAAGAGCGTGCAACGACATTATCGACTGCGACCTGCCTCTGTACGTCATTATGATCGACACCTCATCGTCATGGTGGCCGTAGCTCCTGCGCTGAGAGCGTCGCCGCCATCAAGCAAACCATTGCCGAGACCAAGACCCTCGTGCCTGGGAAAGCGGCCGTCGCTTTGCGCAAGCAGCTCGATGCATTTGTCGTCCTCGCCGACGCCGAGCCGATCGGTACGCTGAAGCACTACCGTTTCCCCCGACATGCTTGTGGTAGCTGTGCCCCGACCGCAGTCCAAGACAGACCGTCTCAACTTGATGACGGTCGGTCGACTGCGATCGTGGTGGATCTTACTCAGATTTGAGATGGGACTAGGCTGACGCTGCCGCCGCGTCAGCGGACCCGAGCCCCAACCCTGCTGGTACAAATCGCAAACTCGAGTAAGACATGGATACAGAGACTGCTTAGGGACAACCAAGATACTCAACGAGTACAAGCAAAAGCTCAAGGCCATGGAGTCCAAGCTCAAGGTGCTGTGTCGGCGGCAAGGAAAAATGCGTTATTCCAGAATGTTGTAGGCCGACAAGGTGAAAATCACCCAACTCGAAAACGCACTCGCTAAGGCTGACGCGGCTGCCGCGCTCGGAGGTTGAGACATTGATATTTTTACTTGGATATGAAATGCTGGGTAGGCAAAGGCGGCAAAGACGATGACGCCAACAGCCGCCTCTTGAACAAGAAGCTCCAAGATGCGGAGAAGAAGGCCAAAACTGCGTTGGACGAGGCCGAGAAGCAAGCGACGCGGCGCATTGCCAGCCTCGCGTATCCGATCGTACCTTGCGCTGTTCAATAGTGAGTGTATACCACTAGGAACGAGCTGCAAGCGGCAACGACAAACGTGACATCGCTCACGGCCAAGATCGACGAGGTACCTCATGTACAGCATTGTCCTATGCCCTATGCGACACGCCTAGCTCGACGCTCAAGTGACCGAATTAAGCACCAAAGCAACGCTGCTCAATAACGTCCAAGGCGAAGTTGAGAAGCTGCGCCAGGACGCGGTAAGCTCTATGTAAGGTGATGACGCTGCATCGTCCTCTAGGCCACGGCGGCGCAAACCGCTCAGGAGCTCTCGACGCTCCAAGGGGCCTTTTCGAAACTCGAAGACAATTACAAAGAAGGACTAGAGATCGGTATCAAACGTGCTAACTCGTCGTCTAGGAAGAACAAGCGCTGCGAAAAAAGTACTACAACACCATCGAAGACATGAAGGGCAAGATCCGCGTCTACTGTCGGTGTCGCCCCATGAGCGGGTCGGAGCTTGAGCGTGGCTGTCACTCGGCCGTCAAGTTTCTCGACGAGGTACGCCTAACCCTACGCACACGATGATATACGAGTCTCTCTAGTATACGCTGGAACTCGAGACGCCGCGCGGCCCCAAGTCGTTTGCATACGACCAAGTGTTTAATCCCTCCAACACACAGGTAAAACAAGTGGTTTTGCCTCATACTCAGTTGAATGCAGGACCAAGTGTTTGAAGATACAAAGAACCTCTTGCAGTCGGCGCTCGACGGGTGCGTTTGTATCAATTTTTCAAGGCCTCACCTGCAACCAGGTACAACGTGTGCATCTTTGCGTACGGCCAAACGGGCTCGGGCAAAACGTTCACCATGACGGGTACTGGCGGTGTGCTGCTTCCGCGTGCGATCATTATTGTCTGGCTCAGGCACGGCCGACCATCCAGGCATCACACCACGACTCATCGACCTCATGTTCAAATCGGGCGACGCGCTCAAGGGTGCGTCGAAGCTTTGTATCAATATTTCAATTGGAAATATATTTTGGCGGTGTAGGCAACAACACCATTACATATGAAGCGTACATGCTGGAGCTCTACAACGATGCGCTCATCGATCTCTTCTTTCAACTGGACAACCACCCGGACAAGGTTTTTGACGGGCCCGAGTTGTAAGCATGAACGGTTTACAAACTAGGCGCCAAAACTAGAGATCAAGAAGAACGACAAGGGCATGGTCGTCGTGCAAAACATCGTTGTCAAGCCGTGTACCGACACCCACCAAACGCTCAAATTGTTTGATCGTACTGCGCCCAGAGACAAAATTGTCGTTTGAAAGTGAACATATGGGATAGATGCCAACAAGAAGCGCCAAGTCGGTGCGACCAAGATGAACGCCGAGAGCAGTCGGTCGCACTCGGTGTTTACGATCTTGATTGAAAATTACAACAAAACCACAAAAAAGGTATTCTAGAATCCTCTATTGAACTTTGAGAATCGGCACTAGTCGAGTGCACGCGTAGACGTCTGTGGGCAAGCTCAGCCTCGTGGACCTCGCGGGCTCGGAGCGAGCGGGCAAGACTGGCGCGACGGCCGATCGGCTCAAGGAGGCCCAAGCCATCAACAAGAGCCTCAGCGGTAAGTTCCGACGCATCAAGTGGACGAGCCTGCACTATGGAAGTAGCCCTTGGCGACGTCATTTCCGCCTTGTCGACCAATGAAAAGTTCATTCCATACCGCAACAACAAGGTATGCATTGAATAACTACGGTGCTGGAACCCCTTGTTAGCTCACGCAACTCATGCAAGACTCGCTGGGTGGCAATGCCAAGACGGTACACGACTCGTTGAGACGACTAGGAAGCAGCGACGATGTTACTTTAGCTCATGTTTGTCAATATTTCGCCGGCCGACTATAACCAGGTCGACTCTCACCGACGCAAGGCGCTCATCGTACTTGCCGAGTAGGAAGAGACTCAAACGAGTCTCTCGTACGCGTCACGGGTCAAGCTCATCACCAACAATGCCAACAAGAACTCGGACAGGTTGCTCCTTCTCTCTTGCTCAACTCGCTGAATGGCGCAGTGAGGAGGTCGCCAAGCTCAAGGCCATCATCAAGCAGCTCAAGGCAGGCCACGACGTCGACCTCGATTCGATCGCCGAGGGCGAAGCCATGTAGCTATTCCGGCTTATACCCGCTAAATCTGTGGCTTGGCGTGGACCGCGGACGATTGTTAACGATGGAGACGACGTGCCATTGGTCGAGTGTTTGGACACATTGTCTGCTCGTCCAGAGTCATCTCTTCCGCTGGACGCTTCCTAAAGCCGACTATTTTGCGCGGCGATGACTCTAGTCGTCGTACGAGTAGATAGAGCTGCCTCGTCTGCACGTTGGATACTGGCATGACATGCCCTTGGATAGTGGCATCCTGGTGTACCGTGGGATTGAAGAAGGCAGCCAAGCACGAGTGTACATTATTGTCTATACCTACTAGCCTTTTATTTATTCTACTAGTTTGCGACGGTGCTCGAGTCGCCGTCGGGCGTCAACTGCTGGTCGGTGGCGATGGCGTCGAAGGCGCTGAAATGGGCGCGCCAAAACCCAAGACCCACCGGCGTGTGTTTAAAAAATATTTCACATTTTTAATCCGCCCAACGCTCAAGAAGATACAAACACACAATATAACCAACTGCCACGGCAATAAAATGCAGCTTTATTTTAAACAATTAAAGCCGAAGGCTCGCTCAAGTGCGATTCGCTAAAGTCCGCTGCCGAATTTGGATCCTAGAGAGGCACGATCTTGGCCGATACCCACATCACTACCTACGAGAACGAACCTTACCTCCATCTCGCTCCATGTCTAGCCAATGTGCTCTTCCCAAACACTACTCTTTGTAGGTCCTTGACGTCGTTCTGCTCGCCGTACAACACGCTACTGACCCATCCAATGGTCGCGCGCCTGTTAAAATCGGCATATGCCACACGAAACCTCCTTTGGTGGTCGTTCACACCTCGTGCTCGTCCACGATCGTCCGCCGGCTCGCATGGCACGCTACTGGAAACGTCTTACCTCTCTCGACCGACTTGTACTGCAGTGCGTCCACCCACCATGTGCGCTTACAAATGGCATGTGCCACGGCGAATCCCGGTAAAGTGCGCATCGCACTTGAGAGCGCCGTACGTTTTTGTCTGGAGGCGAGAGCTTGCTGGTGGCCAGCCAACCATTTTGGGCCATTGCGCCTTAGATTTCACTGGTAGTTTTGAAGTGCAATCTCAACATGGTGCGTCCGGATCGCCGAAATCTTAGCGGTCTTATTGTGTCCGTAGTCGCAGCAATTCGTGCTTTTCGAGTCCGCTTCGGGCTACGCTCTCTTTGAAGTCGTCGAGGCCGAGCAGATTGGCCAGCTCTTGGACCAGGTCCAGAAGGGCGTCCAGGACCTCGCCAAGTTTGGCGCGGCCGTCAAGCTCAAGGCGTTCTCGCCGTTCACGTCGGCCGAGTCGGCGCTCGAGAACATCAACGCGATCTCGGAAGGCCTCGTGACCGACGACCTCAAGGCGTTCCTCGAGATGAACCTCCCGAGCTCGTCCAAGAAGGCCAAGTACACGCTCGGTTTGACCGACAAGGGCCTCGCGCAGTCGCTCACGGATGCGCTCAAGATTCCTTGCAACACGAACGAGACGTCGCTCGAGGTGCTCCGTGGCGTGCGCCTCCACTTCGCCAAGTTTATCAAGGAGCTTGACAACGGCAACCTCGCCAAGGCGCAGCTCGGTCTCGGCCACTCGTACTCGCGTGCCAAGGTCAAGTTCAACGTCAACCGCGCCGACAACATGATCATCCAAGCGATCGCGCTCCTCGACCAGATGGACAAGGACGTCAACACGTTTGCGATGCGCGTGCGCGAGTGGTACTCGTGGCACTTCCCCGAGCTTGTCAAGATCGTCAACGACAACTACGTCTACGCCCGCTGCGCGTCGTTCATCAAGAACCGCAACACGCTCTCGGACGACTCGGTCGAGGCGCTCGCCGCCATCACGATGGACGAGGACAAGGCGACGCAGATCGTCCACGCCGCCCGCACATCCATGGGCATGGACATGTCGGAGATCGACATGATCAACGTCGATGCGTTCACGACGCGCCTCATCAAGCTCGCCGAGTACCGCCGCCAGCTCCATGGCTACCTCGTCTCCAAGATGAGCGTGGTCGCGCCCAACCTTGCCGCGCTCATCGGCGAGACGGTCGGTGCCCGCCTCATCTCGCACGCCGGCTCGCTCACGAACCTCGCCAAGTGCCCGGCGTCGACGGTGCAGATTCTCGGTGCTGAGAAGGCGCTCTTCCGTGCGCTCAAGACCCGTGGCAACACGCCCAAGTACGGTCTCCTCTTCCACTCGAGCTTCATCGGCCGCGCGGCTTCGAAGAACAAGGGCCGCATCTCGCGCTACCTCGCCAACAAGTGCGCGATTGCGTCGCGTATCGACTCGTTCATTGACGAGCCGACGACCAAGTACGGCGACCAGATGAAGGAGCAGGTCGAAGAGCGCCTTGCGTTCTACGAGTCGGGCGCGGCGCCGCGCAAGAACCTCGATGTCATGCAGGGTGTCGCCGACGCGCTCAAGCAGGCGGCCGCCGCGCCGCTCAAGAAGGAGAAGAAGCGCAAGAGCGAAGACAAGTCGTCCAAGAAGTCGAAGAAGGCCAAGAAGGAGGACGTCGAGGTCGAAGAGGAAGAAGTCGTCGTCGAGTCGGACAAGAAGAAGAAGAAGAAGAAGAAGAACAAGGACTAAACACACCAAACGTTGCGCTCGCAAACTTGAGATTGGATAAATACAACTATATATACTACACGTGTGCCTTAGTCGATATGTCAAATTGTGTCTAGTCGGTGCGTCCTATGATGGACCCAAGAAATAATACCTTTTGCTTCTTCCTTTGGAGGAGCCGGCGCAGTAGCATCGCATCTCCTTCATGCAACAGCGTTGGCGAGAGGCGACTGGACTGGACCAGGGCTGTAGACGCAGCCTTGCCACTCATTCTTGGGCTAGTCACCGGCGCCTCTTCACGAACATCTCGCCCACCTCAACTAGTGCGATCATCTCATGCAACTGTCCAGCCTGCAGCCGGACGTTTGCTCCTGCACCAGTGCCAGCCATTATGACGGTACTGTTCAAGCTGCTGTCATAGCGCGGACGGCGCCTCATGTGCTTTGTGCAAAGGCAGTCCGGCCATCGCGCTCCTGACTTCGGGGCGTAGCGTCAAGGGCCAACAACCGGTCTGTGGGCCCTTGCTAGCACGTTGCATCAGCTTACTCGTGGGAACGTACAGTGTGTCCACGGATGCTTCGTCGGTGGTGGGACTTGTGGACACCCAAGGGATCCTCTATTTGTCTCTATCGTGCACTGTATGGACCCTACCCCTACGACGGTTGCTCGACAAGCTGACGAGCATCATCCGGAGGCGTCGTCGACCATGTCTTTGGCAAACTCGTAGGCGAGCCAGCCTAGAAGAGACATCTGTCCACCAGCGAACGCTGCAGGGTTCTGTACCAAGCAGCGTCGAGAAGGCAGACGGCGCCATGCCCCGTAGCGTTGGCCGTGCGAGTGCTGCCGCTTCCTTGACACTGGCCCGACTAGTCCATTCGACATACTGTGATGCTCTCGAGCAACTGCATAGGTACGTACAAGGGGGCTTGCTCGAACGGCGCAATGTAGTGCGTCACGACTTCACCGACAAGACCGGAGGTCGCCGCCGCCGCGACGATGCAAGCACCCGTCACCACCTACAGGAAATTGAGGCGCGGTGGCCGTCATTGCATCGGTTTACCGCCGAACGATCCTAGCATAGCGTTAGCGTGGGATATATCGCTACATGACGTACTTCTTTGTGCTCGCTGGGAACGACCGACTCGAGCAGCGTGGCTTTGGTGGCTTCGTACGAACTAAACATGGCCACATGCGTTGTCGTGTGGCTGAGCAGCACGCCCCGCAGGCTGTAGCCGGACGCGGTCTGCTTGATGCGCACCAAGAGCTCTTCGGTCGCTGTCCAGAGCGAGCCGTGCAGCGCGCCGGCGACGCCGCCAGCGACAAGCGCAACGCCAAAGGTGCAGGCCACCACGTTCTACGATCATCGATGAGGATCTGGTTGTTTCGAGTCGAATCGGGCGCGTACCTGCGGCGTCTGCGATGGCGTCAGCGCATTCGTCGTGAGCTCGTAGCTCGCCCACGTCGCACTGCCGAGAAGACTCGAGCGCACGAGGTTGGGCACCCACGTCCACATGGCCCACTTGGTGAGCGTCGCGACCTTGGCCTGCGGCGATCGGTGCTGGTCCAGCTGCTCTTTCGCCTCCTTGACGTACCCCGTCACGTCCATGAGCAAGCTACATCGTAGCATCCGATGCCATAATTCGTGCTGCGGTTGTCTACCTGAGGTTGTCGGACGCCGATGCGACGGCCTTGACGGGCACGGTCCGCGGGAACGAACCGACGATCGGGTTCTGCAAGCGCAGCCGCATGACCATCGAGCGCAGGCCGCTGCGCATGGCGCCGCCGACGGCCGCGTCCGACGACGTGCTGCTCTCGTCCGTCTCCATCTCGATCGCGACGCCGGCCATGCTGCGCCAAATCGGCCACTGGTCATGTCGAGATGCGGCGATGTCCTTGTTGTAGGATCTAAATAGGACTTTTATGGATTAAAATCGGACAAGGCCGAATCTCCTGCCACGGCGTCTGCGACACGCCACTTCAACTGCATGCAGCGAGGTTCTGGGGTGATCCTGCCGAGTACAAAAGGACGACACTCAACTAGAAACCCAGTTGCGCTAACCAGAATTATTATAACAGAGTCATCCATGACAATCTCAAGCCACAGTCTATGATCAAGTACGAGTCTCCACGGAGCACTACGGCCTTGATACCAACGTGCGCCTCAACCGTTGAAGTACTAAGTACTTCAACGGTTGAGGCGAAGCGAAATGGCCGCCATCAGTCGCTAAGTACTACTTGGCGACTAATGCCGGCCATTTCGCTCTTACCATGGTTCCGCCCCGTTCTTTATAACATCCGCAGCCGTGGCTCCTCGGTGTCCTCTTGCGCGAGGTAAGAACGGCGTTCGCAGCACCCGGCGAGTTCATGGAGCAGGACGTCCTTGCAGCTTGTTGTCGCAACAACGTACGACGATCAAGCAAGATCGTAGCCCTATTCTTGGTTGGCCAAGAATAGTCCCATATAGAAATATATATACATTGTTGGCAAGGTCATTTGGCGCTTTCGTTCGTGCACGAGCCCAACATGGGGGGCCTTGCCATTCAAGTGCGGCCGGCGGAAGCTGCCAAGGCTTCAACCGAGGTGCCCAAGCCCATTCGACTCGCAACGCGCGTCGATGACGTGGCCGCGGCGACCGTCGCCCCGCGCGACCGCGCCAACACACTCCACGTCTGCTGCCTCGGGCTCCTCACGGTCCTCAGCGGGCAGTACTATGGCTGGAACGTCGCCTTCACGACGGGCTTTGCACCATTTGCAGTCTCGCAGCTCGTCATGGCGCTCACGTACGTCGTCTACGTCTCGTGCGCAGCCGAGGTGTGTGGCAAAATCGCCTTCTCGGGTGGCGTCTACGGCTTGTCGCGGGTCACCTTGGGGTACTATGTGGGGTATATGGTCGGCTGCCTCGAGCTCCTCGAGTACATTGCGGCATCGAGCGTCTCGATCGTGTACCTAGGACGCTTTCTGACGTTTACGCTTGATTTGAGCGCCGAGTGGGCGCTGTTGGCATGGCTGTTTGTGTACTCTGTCTGCATTGGCTGCGTGGCGCTGCCCGGTCGCTTCTTGTGGCCCTTGGTCGTCGTCTTGGCGGTACTGAGTCTGCTGCCCTCGGTCCTCTTCATTGGCGGTACGATCCAACTTGCAAATCTCGAAAAATTTGGGGCTTACGCGGACGCGCAAGACCGGATGCAGCGCGTCTGGGCATCGGGTACGATCGTGAGTGCGTACCTCGCGTGGCTACCGTACACGACGTGGGCATATGCCGGCGTCGAGTGTCTCTCGCTCGTGACCGATATGACCAATTCACCCAAGGTGACAGTGCCCCGGGGTATGCTCTACTGCATCGGCGTCCTCTTTGTATCAAATTTTGCGATCGTCTGCCTCGTGCCGTCGCTGCCGCCTGGTATTGCCAGCGCTGCGACGGCCGCGTATCCGCTCACTAATGGTTTCCGGTTGGCGTACGACCTCTCGGCGTCGTCGAGTGCGTGGCTCGTCTTTCCCGCGCATGTGGGTGCTGCGCTGGGGTTTCTTCGTCCGAGCGGCCGGCTCGTGCAAGCGCTCGCTGACTCGTCGCTGTTGCCGCCATGGCTCGGTCTCAAGAGCGCAGCGTACACAGGGCGGTGGAAGGCGGTGACGATCGCCTCTATGTTTGGCTACGTCCTCTGCGTCTTGAGCTATTTTTTTCAAGTCTTCGCCAAAGCCTTGCCCCACCTCGCGATGCTCGCAGCGTGCGGCTGTTATGCAGCGCAGCTCGTTGGCTTTATCCTGCTGCGGACGTCGTACAAGGCCGAGTGCCACGGGTATCGATCGCCCTTTGGCATAGGCAGCGCCGTGCTCGCGATCGGGAGCTTTGGGATCCTGGCGATTTCGATTCTCGGGGCATTTCAAGACGACGACGGTGTTGCGGCGCTTACGTACCTGGCCTATGTTGTCGTCATATCGCTTTACTATTACGTGGCGTGCAAGGACCGGCAGACAGTCTCGAAGGACGAGTACGCGTCGATTTTTCGGTTTACCATCATCAAGTTCAACAACATGAAGCGACGCATGACGCGCCAGAATCAGCGCAAGTCGTCACAGTGGACAAAAGTCATTTCACTACTGCAGTCGAATTCGACGCTCAGCTCGAGCAACCGCGTGAGCTACGTCGACGTCGGCGTCAACCGCGGCTCGCGGTTGAGCCAACCCCGTCGGATGTCGATCGCACCGAAATGACAACGTCTCTCTTGCATGCGTTTACCAATCACAAGCGACCGATTCGCGATAAACAATATCATTTTTGCATTTTTTTGGTATTTGATACCCTACCCCTACCCTACCCCGGGTTCCGACGAGCCTGTCTCGGTACCCTTTGCAACGACTGGCGTGGTGTTTTCAAGCAAAGTAGCCACTGGCAGAAGGGCCCCAAGCCGCAAAGATCGACATTGCGTGTGCATTTCGATGCCGACAACCTCGGCGATGATGCACGCGCGTCATCGCCGTGTGCCTCGTGTCACGTACTAGTCGACCACAAAACACTGCATATACGATAGAGATCTTATTGTTAAAGTGAGTCTAATAGAGATCTCATTGTGGTGCTATACAAAGATACTACACAAATACGCAACCTGAGGTATCGGACTATCGTGTTGCGGGGTAGGGCGGTGCCGGGCGACGTGGTGCGCTCCCTTGGCGCACGCCAACGTTGATGTAGCTCACGCGATTGGTCGAGAGGAGCGTCGACGACCGTAGCATTGACACGACTTTGTGCCAGAAACGGGGCTTGCGCTGGACGCGTCGCGCGGCTTTTCGTTTGAGATTGTTGAATTTAATGATGGTAAAGCGGAAAATCGAGGCATATTCGTCTTTCGAGATGGTCTGCCGGTCCTTGCACGCATAGTAGTAGTACCCCGTCAGCAAGAGGCAGTACCCGAGCGCGGCGAGCCCCGCCGTGCCATGATCATTTTGAAACCCACCAATGATCGAGATTGCTAGCAGACTGTAAACGACCATGGCAAAGACGGCGCCGGTCAAGCCAAACGGGGCTTTGAACCCGTTGCTTTCGGCCTTGTACGTTGTCCGTAGCAAGATGAACCCGAGCAGCTGGGCGCCATAGCACAACGAGCCAACGAGAAGAAACATATTTTGGAGTGCGCTGCAAAAGTCCTGGCTAAAGTAGCTCAAAATGCAGAGAACGTAGCCAAAGCCACACGAGAGGATCATGGCGCGCGTCAGTCCGCGGTGCCCCAAATTCTTGAGCCCGAGCCATGGCGGTAGCAGCGTCGAGTCGGCCAGCGCTTGAATCAATCGCCCACATGGCAAGACAAACCCAGCAGCCATGCCCATGTGCGCGGGCAAGAGCAGCCACGTGCCAACGCCTTCAGAAATGCCGTACGCCATCGCGAGACCGTTGTTGAGCGGATACATGACCGTCGTCGCGGCCGCAATTCCTGGGGGCAGCGATGGCACAAGGCACACCATGCCGACGTTTGAGAGAAAGAGGAGGGCGACGGCGCCAAGGATACCGCGCGGAATCGTCGTCTTTGGCTGCACCGTCATATCGGTCACGAGCGAGAGACACTCGATGCCGGCAAATGCCCATGTTGTGTACGGCAGCCATGCAAAATATGCACTTGAGATATCTCCCGAGGCCCAGACATGCGTCGTGTTGTCGACCGGGTCCAACAAATAGCCAAATTGACGGAGGTTGGCGAATTTGAGGCTCCCAAAAATGTAGAGCACGGCCGGGGCATAGCACAGCAGTGCAAAGCCTATCGAAGCGTTCCACATGATGCGTCCCGGAAGCGAGTAAAATGCCACGAACGATGCATAGCAAGCGAGCCAGATCAACGGCTCGAAGCGCTTGTCCCAGCCGAGGTCGCTCGTGAAAAGCTCGCCAATAAAGAGGACCGAGACGGCGGTTGACGCTGTGTACTCGAGGAGCTCAAGGAACCCGACCATGTAGCCGCAATAGTACCCCAAGGTGACCCGCGACAAGCCGTACGTGCCGCCCGAGAAGGCGATTTTGCCGCATATTTCAGCCGCGCACGACATGTAGATGACGTACGTGACACTCATGACGAGCTGCGACGCGACATAGGGCACAAAGCCCGTCGCCAAGGCGGCGTTCCACCCATAGTACTGCCCGGCCATGACGCTCACAAGGCCGTGACAGCAGACATGCAAGGCAGTTGCGCAGTCGCGCGGTGCGACTTCGGCCACCGCCACGTCGTTGACCTTGCACGTGATGGCGTTGGGGGCCTCGGGGTGGGCTTGCTCGGCCGTCGGCGGCGATTGGACCTTGATCACTTGGCCTGTCGTTGGCTGCGGGTGGACCTTGATCACTTGGCCTGTCGCGCCTTTGATCGAGGCCAGCATGGTGGGTTTCCGAATGACTTGTGACAAAGATAGAGAACCGTGGCGCGAAACCTATCCGGATACGACCGAAACGATGGCGTGACGTATATGCATCCACCTGATTGGTGGCCGTCATTTCGGCGTGGTAGAAATACTAGTACAATGAACACACTATTATTTGTACACGAAACAATCAATAGGCCGACACGAGCTTCTTCATGAGCGTCTCTTGGTCGATGAGCGGTCGCGGAATCGGCTTGTCGTTGCCGCCGAGGTAGTTGCACCACACGAGCGAGTCGTCGGCCTGGATCGTC